AGCTCTTCTTAGCGAAAGACAGGATCAGTTTCAGATAGATTGGATAGAACATCGGGCGAGAGAACTCCTTGATTCGTCCAGCCCTGTGTCTGCATTGCGTGCTTTTCTCCGCCAGGTTCCCTGGCACTGCCTGCAACGATCTAAGAAGTCCGAAAGGGCAATCCTGCAAGAGGATGAATCAAGTGCTAAGCATCCTTCTGCGTACGTGACTTTTGGAACATATGCGCATGGGGGAGTGGTTGGGATTACTAAGGTTTCTCGAGAGTATCCTTTCTTAACGCAGATAATCTCTCGTGTCATTTCCCAAGCCCAGCCTGAGCACCCCTTTACGTCGATTTCCATCTCATGCAATGTAAAGGCAAAACCGCATCGGGATAGCTATAATAGCCTGGGCATACCAAACTTGGTAGTCCCGTTGAAACATCCTCAGAGCGGGGGCGAAGTCTGGGTGGCAAGCCCACCTGGCCCTAACCAAAGGAGCATGAGCATGATGTGTGCTGGAAAGAAGCTGCAAGGCTCCGTCCGGTGCCTCCAGGATCCTCTGCTGTTGGATCCACACGTTTGGCACGCCACTTTGCCGTGGAGCGGCAACCGCTTGCTTGCCGTGGGTTACGTCAATAAGTCTTATGTCAAGGTGACCCCGCAGGAAAGGCAATGGTTGATAGATCATGGTTTTCCTCTTAAGAAAATCCCAGAGCTTTCCTTCGACGAGCCCACAACAGGCAATGCTTTGTGTGCCAACAATCCCGCAGAAGCCCCGAAGTCTCTGCTGCGCCAAGAACTCGAAGCCTGTAGTCAGGTACTCACGGTTCCAGCGTTGCATACCGAAGCCCACAAACTTGTTGAAGCGTGCTGTCAGGCTTTCAATCAAGCTCAGGTTACAAGTTGGGAAGCCTTTGAAGACTCCTTGTTAACTTACCAACAGCCAACTGGGCCCCAGCTAGACCTTTTGGAAGTCTACGCATACTCTGACAGTCGCTTGACGCAGAAAGTTCAGGAACTCGGAGGGCTCGCACAACGATTTACCCGAGAGCATGGCGATCTGTCTACTGTAGAGGGTCAAAGGGAGTTGTGGAATGTTGTCCAGAAAACTCAACCAAGACACATTTGGGTAGCACCAGACTGTAGATTGTGGGGTTCGTGGTCTCGCTATAATGCTGCCCGCAGTGATACGTTCAATCGAGCAATGTTGGAAGGCAGACATGACAGCCAGACCCATCTTCAGCTGTGCACGAAGTTGTTTGAGTGGCAGAAGCGGCATCATCGAGCTTTTCACTTTGAGCAACCCGTTGGCTCAGCTATGCTCCAAGAAGACAGCCTAAAGCCCCTAGTCTCGGGAACTCATAAGGTTAACGTAGACATGTGTGTGTTTGGCCTCCAGACGCCCGTGAGCAAGCGTCCGATCAAGAAAGCGACCACCATCCTTAGTACCTCCCCGAATCTGATCCGTAGCCTGATCACCAAGCAGTGCCCGGGTCATGCAAATCATCAGCCTGTAGCCGGCAAGCTTCGTGAGCTAGGTGGCAAGGCCGTGTCACAGTATGTTGCTTCGTACTGTCCGGGTTTTGCCGAGCACGTGGCGAAGCATCTCCTTCTCGAAGAAAACGATAGGAGTTTGGTTGCCCAAGAGAGCACCCCTGTCTTTACCCGGAAGCGTTTTAAGACCTCGGTAGGGAGTTCCCAATCCATAGTGACCCTACGATCCCAAAAACGAGCGGGAGATGCATCGCAGGAGAGTGCGCAACGCGGCCAACCGAGCCGCCGGTTGAATGCAGCGTCATTTCCAGCCGAGCCGACCGAGCTGCCAGAAGATGTGTGGAGGCCAATCTTTGATCTGGCATCGCAGTGCACTGCCCGAGCAACCCCAAGCCTCATTCCTCCGCAACATGAAGTCTTGGGTCTTCTAGAGACGGCGTTCCCCAAGTATAAGGTTTTGCAAGCTTTCGTAGGGATCAAATGTCGCAACCTGCATTATCCTCTAGGTGCCTTGCCTGCCCCCGTTGCGCCCATTCGCATCAGCATCGCCTCAACGGTGTCATCAGCCGGGAAGATAGAGTATAAGTGTTTAGGTGAAGAGCATAGGTCCCAGCTTACCAATGAGCAAAAGCGTGCNNCTGCTTACCGTGTTTGCACAGCTTTTGCCTACCCAAGACACCAGAGCACAGCCGGGTCCTGTGTCTGAGGCGGATGGCCCAAACCTTGAGGGTTGGGGACCTCCTCCAATTCCCCTTCATGGTCCCGCATTCCGTAATTTGAGTCCTCAAGAGAAGACAGAGCTAAGGCGGATTCATGTGAATTTGGGTCACCCTCCACCGGGCACACTTGCCCGACATCTTCAAGCTGCCAACGCCGATCCCCGCCTGATTGAAGCTTCGCGTGAATTTCAATGCGACTCATGTCTTGAGTCGACACAGCCGCTTCATCAGCGACCAAGCAAATTGCCCCAGGTTCGAGAGTTCAACGACCTTGTTGGTGTAGATGGATTCTATTTTAAGAGCAAATCGGGGTATAGGACTTATGTTTTACATGCCATTGATGAAGCTAGCTGTTTCCAGCAAGGCCGCCGAGCTGCATCCCGACATGCGACGGACGCCATTCAAGCCATCAATGATTTCTGGATAAGTTGGGCTGGACCTCCTAAGCAGGTGTATCTGGATCCAGCGGGGGAGTTTCGTTCTGAGGAAGTGCTAGAGTACTTTCAGGGAGTCAATGTAAAGACGCATGTCACAGCTGCAGCGTGGCAACGAGGGCGATTGGAAAGACACGGGGATATCCTGAAAGACACACTTGAGCGTTTGGATATCAGTCATCCCATCGTCAACGATGCGAGTTTTGATAGAGCTCTTCTTCAAAGTATCCTTGCGAAAAACGCCCTGGTGCGACATGAGGGCTATTCCCCTGAGCAGATCGTTTTCGGAAAAGCCTTAAGGGTGCCAGGAAGTTTAACATCTGATGATGATCTGACGTCACACGCACTGGCGGAAGGGGATGATTTAGAAGCTGAGCGCCATCGGCAAAGACTGGACCTTCGTTGTCTCGCCAGAAAGGCTTTCCTGGAGGCAGATAATTCGCAGACGATCCGCCGGGCCGCGCTTCGAAGGAGCACACCGTTACGTGGGCCTTTCAATCCCGGAATGTGGGTCCTGTATTGGACCAAAAAGAGCTCCCCTAATCGTCTTGCTGCCGGACGCTGGCATGGGCCAGCAAAGGTGATATGTGCGGAAGGTAAATCCATTGTTTGGGTAGCCCACGGCACCACCATCATCAGGAGTGCTCCCGAGAACTTGAGACCAGCGTCTCTTCGTGAGTGGCAGAGCCTCACGGACTCGCAGCTGGATCAGCCGTGGAGGCACACAGGAGGAGCAAGCTCCTTTTTGGACTTGACCGGAGTCCCTGGGGACTCACCTACACCCGAGAATCAGCATGGTGCTGGAGCTCCCTTGTCAGCCTCTGAGATTCTTCCAATGCCGGTATCATCAACCGCACCACCTAATAATGATCCTGCACCTCCTGTGTCAGAAGAGATTGGCCAGCCAGAACAGGAGCTGACTCCCCAGGTGAGCCAGGAGAGTCCCGAAGTTGAGCGCGACAATGTTGCAGCTCCTTCTGCCAGTTCTGTGATCCCGGAAATCACGAGCCCAGGTCCTTCTGTAAGTAATCCTCCCGACCCTCAAAGCATTCCTGTACCCGGGTCCGATGAGGGTTTATGTGTTGAATCAACTTTTCTTGCCAGTGAAATGACAGGGCTCGGTGATGATGATGGGAGTGAGCTGTTGAATATCGCCACGCTGGAAGGTGACAGCGAGGCTTGCGGACCGCCTCTTGCCGAGGATAACCTACCGTACGTGCCCCAACCTCTGTTGAACACAGCCGAGCGTGCGTACTGTCTCGAAGTTCCTCTTAAGCCCAAGGAGGTTAAGCGGTGGAAGAGGGAAGAGTCAGCGAGCCACCTGATCGCGGTTGCTGCGGCCATGAAGCGGGCTCGCTCTGAAGTCTGCCTGAAGGATTTGTCGGCCAAAGAACTCGAGCTGTTTGACTTAGCCAAACAAAAAGAAATCAACTGCTGGGTCCAAACGTCGGCCATCCGTGGCATTCTTCGTCGCAAGTTGAATCCGGAACAGATCCTTAAGTCTAGATGGATTTTGACATGGAAACCGCCTGAGGAAGGCGAGACACAGCAGAGAGCAAAGGCACGTTTGGTGGTGTTAGGGTTTCAGGACCCCAAACTGACTGAGGTCTCTAGAGATGCCCCAACCTTGTCAAAAGAAGGCAGAGCTGTTGTTCTCCAGACGATCGCTTCCCGGCGCTTCCAGCTGAGCTCCTTCGACATCAAGACGGCTTTCTTGCGGGGCAAAGCAGACGCTACTAATCCACTAGCAATGGAGCCCCCGAAGGAGCTTCGTAAGGCTTTAAGTTTAAGAGATGACGAAGTTTGTGAGCTCCTGGGAAATGCCTACGGCCGTGTGGATGCCCCTCTTCTGTTCTACAAAGAGCTCAGTAAGCAGCTGTTTTCTTTAGGATTCACTAGGCATCCTTTAGAGCCCTGTGTATTTCTATTGTACCAAGGGGGAGAGCTGCGGGGGATCCTAGGAATGCATGTGGATGATGGAGTCGGAGGTGGTGATGAGGTTTTCCGAAAGAAGATTGATGAGCTTCAGAAGACTTTACCTTTCGGCAGTCGTAAGTTTGACAGCTTCACGTTCACCGGAATCCACCTTCATCAGGCGCAAGACGGATCCATCCTTGCTAGCCAAAGCGAGTATGTTAGAAGCATTCCACACATAGATATCGGGAGGCATCGACGTCAAAACTTGGAGGATCCCGCCAGTGAGGGCGAGCAGACAAAACTTAGGGGTTTAATTGGTAGTCTCCAATATGCCATAACCCACACCCGACCTGACATGGCTGCTAAGCTGGGCGAGATTCAGAGTCAGACCTCGCGTGCAACGGTGCAGACTCTGTTGGCTGCCAACCGAGTTCTCCGAGAGGCCCAAGAGACCTCCCAGGT